AATATTAATTTAAAATGTTACCCTTCCAGTGTGACTCATACAATTAACATTTTCACTTTACAGCGTTAGAGGTAGAAAAGAGGAGCATACCATGGGGATGAGTATTAACGGTGTGGTTAGAGAGAGGTGTACTAGAATTATTAAGACTAACCCTTTAATTTCACCAATTCTATTAATCCTAGAGTCACATTTCTTATTATTACAGTTACTGTTAGAGGCTTGCATGAAAAACACATTTCCTGCAATATTTTCTAGAACTACAGGAATGCAATGAAGTGTTAACTGCTTTGTAGATGAACTATAAGTAAATTTACAGTACAGGACATCTCAAACTCAGAAAGAAATGCCAGGAACTTGAGATGTAGGTTGGATGCTGTACACAAATATGTCCGGCTTTCCGACCCTAGTCAGACTGTTACTCATGAAACTGGTAAGTTTACCTTCTCAGCTTTGTGTTTAATTGTTTCCATTCAAAATAAGTTCAGCCAGCCAGGCTGATACTTTGTTACTACTGCCAGTGTGAGAGTCGCAACATTGTAGCAGTAAACAGTGTAATAGCATTGCTTCACAGACTGTTTCAGTTGATTGTTGTTATTGTGTAGAGCTTGTTGTGTGTTGTAATTAGTACTGTAATATCTACGCTGTCTTTGCAAAAAGCCACATATGTGAGCCCACGTGTCACATGTATTTAAATGTATTTAAGTGTATTCTTTCATCTACAAGAGGGCAGTTTCTATACAACAATGACAATTTCATCACATTTAACTATGATTGTGGGTTTATACCATATTGTATTATCTGCCTCTGTCTCACAGTTAAGATGATATTTTCTTGTTTTTTTACCTGAATAATTGAATATATGAATATATTTATATTACTATTTCCTACTTACTATTTCATATTTCTACTTGCCAGTGATGGTGTGTGCCTAAAGTGTGGCAGTGATAAACACATTTCTCCAATACCGTGTCATTATATTATGACCGTACATTATTACAATGGGACAGCACTGAACCACGTTCCAGAGACAATGGGTTATATTGGATCTGCTATAATATGAATCAAAAGCATGTTGGGTGATTCCCTGATAAATGTTTTCTGCTTCCATGTATATTATATCCTTATATGAAAAATTAATATATTAAGAAAACCTTACCAGCTTGTACTGTAAATTGCCAAGTTGAAGAATACGTTGAGTTCTAGAGCCACAAATACATCTTTAGATGGCAAATCGTTGAAGCTAGAATTTAAGCATGTGTATAGCATGTGATTTCCCTCCCAGTAACTTTAGTGTTTGAAATGTGTTGGATTAAGGACATTTAAAATGAGATACTGCTGAGAAACTCTAAAGAGGCTTATATCAGATTTAACACAACTATGTTATAGCTGTGTTATATATGTTTGCAGTTTTATTTAAAAAACAAAACAAACAGTTGGAAGGTTTTGTAAGCTGCTAAATGCTTCTATAAGGCCGTGTCTCTGCAACTGCAATAAGCATCATATATTGTTTAATACTTTAGATGCTGTTGTTGATTTTCCACAGACTGCACTGAATCTGTATTTGAAGTATGTGAAAACTTTTCAAATGTCTTTGTGGATAAGGTGTCTAGTATGAGAACTCAGATATTACCCTATGCAATTTACCCATCATCTTCTTTTCCCTGCTCTGCTGCCTTTTACCAGTTTTTTAAGCCTGTGACTTTACCTTTTTTATATGAGGTTGTTGGTCAACAGAAGTCCTCGGGTTCCCCCACAGATGCAGTCCCACCCTGACTATTTAAAGAGGTGATTTCTGCTTTGGGGCCAGTTCTTGTTAGTAACAGCAGCTTGTCCTTGACTGTAACTCCAAAAGACTTTAGGCTTATGTGCAGCACTTTGTGACTCTGTCGAGAAAGGTGCTATATAAATAAAATTGTATTTTCATTATTTTATTTTATCATGTAACCTAATTAGAAAGTCTGGCCTGGCTCCCACCATGATGTCCAATTTTAGAGCAATCTCCAAGCTACCTTATTTCAAACATTTTGGGAAAAAAAGAGTCTATATTATATATTATATTATATTATTATAATATCTTTTTAAGGGATTTTAGTCTGGTTTAAAAAATTTTCATAGGACAGTACCTGTACTACTAAGGGTTTTTAATGGCATTCTTTTAGCTACAGATGGTTGGAATTATTTGATCCTAGTTTTTACTAGATTAATAGCCTTTGCTACAGTGGGTCACATTATTCTGATATTTTGTTTGGAACATTTTGCACACATTAATGGCACTACCCTGAATTGGTGTAAGTCCTACCTGGCTGAAAGAACATTTTGTTATCTTTAATAGATTTAAGTCACCATGTTCTCCTTGTCATGTTGGGTACCTCAGGGCTCAACCCTTGGGCCCCTGCTATTTTTATTAAATCTTCTTCCCCTGTGCTCCATATTTAGAAAGCATAAATGTGCTTCCCATTTTTATGCTGGTAACAGTCAGGTGTATATGCCCGTTAACTTAGAAAAACCTTAAATGTCTTGATAAAGTAAAAGTTATTACTGGTGGGTCTCCTCCTTTAGATTTGGGCCTTCTTACACAATACAAAACATTTTGTCACTAACCTGGGTGTCAAAATGGACAGTGATTAAAAGCAATTCAGTGCTGTGGTGAGAGCGAGTGTCTTCTTTTTTATTTACCATATACAATTGGTCAAACACAGTCTTCCAGACTTCACTTTAACATTCTGTAGTTTGTTTTTAAGTCTTTAAATGACCTTGCCCCACTCTCTGAGCTCTTACAGGTGCACTCACCCTCCTAGTCACAAATGTCAGCTAAGTTGTGGAATTCACTGCCCTTGCATATTACACATGCTTCTGCACTGACGTTTTTAAAGTAACTATTTAAAGCCCACCTTTTTTCATTGGCCACAGTGAGAGAGTTGACTTTAAAAATGTTTTATTATTATTAATGAATTTGAATTTCTATTGTGAGCTTAATGATGAGCATTTTAGCCAGCATATTGTTTTAAAGCACTTTATAAAAAGTGCTTTGAAGCAAAAAAACAGCTAGGCTTGGCTGGGCTTTGCGTGTCTCTGCTAATGAATGTGTGTCCTGTACTACCTGTAAAACAAGTTGGCTGAGTGGCTGGATTTCACTGACGTATAAACAATTCACGCTCACCTACTTCTTTCACTTTTCAGAAAGACCTACATTTAAAAAACGTCATTGTATTCAACTTGGTAATCATTTGTTATAGTCATTAACTAAAACATGTCTATGAATCTGTCATTGTTTAGGGGGGATTAGTAGTAATGGCCATATGACACCGATGCTCCAATACAAGCCTCCAACTCCAATTTGTATTTTCCTTGAACCACTGCTTCAAAGCTTACTTTAATGCCGGAGGGCAGACAAACAAACACTTGGCCCGTGATGTCTCCTCACGTCTACTCCACCTTGAATCTGCTTGAAGCAATTGATACTGCTACACGAGATTCTTTGTAACATTTTATTCCCATGTGAATGTGTGTTTTCGAAAGCTGGAGAAGTTGCTAGCAAGAAACTAAAAACCAAAAACAAACCAATGTAAAAATAATTGTGATTAAAAGTCTTTAAATCCCGGTCCCATGTAAGATTAGTCACACCCCGCTTTAGTTACACAAGCACACCCTATCATCCCACCACATCCTGTTTCCAACTGCTACAATGCAATTTGTTTTTGTTGTATTTGTATCAATCATAAAAACCGTTATTGCACTCAGCACACGATTATTGAGACATTGTTTTGCTTTGTCTTAATTTGCCACTAAAACCTATTTTCAATACAATTCATTAAGTAGTTCAATACTGATTCATTGCTTCATTTGCGCATCACTAGGAATTAAGAGGCAAATGCAGACTCCAAGACTGATTTGAGGAAATGAAAAATAAACCTTTGTGGGGCGATCATGGCTCAAGAGTTGGCTGTTCTTCTTGTAATTGGAAGGTTGCCGGTTTGGTCCCGGCTCCGACAGTCTCGGTCGTTGTTCCTTGGGCAAGACACTTCACCCGTTGCCTACTGGTGGTGGTCAGAGGGCCCGGTGGCGCCAGTGTCCGGCAGCCTCGCCTCTGTCAGTGCGCCCCAGGGGGCTGTGGCTACAATGTAGCTTGCCATCACCAGTGTGTGAATGTGTGTGTGAATGGGTGAAGGACTGAATGTAGTGTAAAGCACTTTGGGGTCCTTAGGGACTAAGTAAAGTAAAATACAGGCCATTTACCATTTTACAGCGCAAGCATCAAATCCAGGCGGATGAAAAAAACAGGAGACAAAATCACTGAGGCAGACAAACAGTACAACATGACAGAGAACTAAAGAAAACTGAGGGTTTAAATACACTCAAGGTAATCAGGGGAAAAGATGCAGGTAAACAGAATAAATTAACTTTACCTACAAATTAAGAAGCTATACAGGTACAACTAGAGTAGACTGCCATCAGATAGAAAGAATAACAGAAGTCACATGACCCAAAGAGAAAGTGAAACGACAATTTAAAACCCAAACTCCCACATCATCTACATCAGTGTGAACAACAACCACGACACACCAACTTCACAGCACAATTGGACATTCAGGTACGGTAACATTGCGTTAATAATCCAATGCAGGAAATCCAGTCATTAAATTATTAATTTGAGCGGATTGAGTCATCTCACATTTGGTTCAGATGTGTTAAGTTAAAAGAGTTTACTTTTCTTTTCCGTTTGTTTTATTTACAGGTAGTTGGTAACAAAAAGACATGAAACTTTTTCAGTGTAAGTCATTGTTGTGACTTTCTTCTTCCTTCTTTTTCTTTGTTGATTTGCCCTTAACACAGTTTGTTCAGCCCTCGGGGATTTAACATGTAACATTGAGCTACACAAATAAAACTGGCTTGATTTAACAAATAGTTTTGAAATGAGGAAATGCTGCAGACTCAAGTGATCTTGATGTGAATTTGTTACAGATGTTTGCAATATTTTATATAATGGAATAGTTAAAATGATGTCCTTTGATTTGAAAGTGGCAAAAAGTAAAATTTCATTTGCCTGGAAAATCTAATGTAACCGTGCCTGAATATGGAAAGGTGTTGCTAACATGTTTGTAAATTGTCATATTTCAATTGCAGTTAAACGCCCAGCACGCCCTGTTTCACCTCCTCGTAAGATATTTTAAATATTATACAAAATTCAAACCTGAAGACAAAACAAGAGGCTTTTACACACCGGATCCGTGCAAATACTTCCTGGTTTACAAATATTTTTCGGACTCATCTGTTCTTTATGCAGCTGTTCACACTGACCATTTGAGCAGCAGAACTCCAGGAAGTTTAGAAAAAAAAGATTCAGTAATTGAACTTTGGGCGAGGTGAGACTGATTAGAGTCAGAGCAACGTTACTGAAACCCTGAATAAATCGCGGCATTTTTTTTTCAGACCAACCGATTCTTCCGATTTCTTGAATCCAAATAAAAAAGACCTGACCAACAAGCCCACTGCATTTGGCAGCTCTTAACTCACATGGCACCTGTACTGAATACACAACCAGATGAAAATAGTCACGTGATATTATTTACATCAGACACACAGTTACATGATAATCCACTTCAGTTGGCTCTGTGAAATGATTTCGCTGCCTCCTCAGATCTGGTCCCAACTCTACCAACAACACCTCAACAACAGCTGTCCCACTGACATCCTGAACTATGTACAAACACACAGCTTCAGCTCCTGGATGCAACCATGAAATTCTTTCTGCTGCTGTTTTCTTAGTTTCTTACTTTTCCCAGCTTGGTATTGTTTGATGTTGGCTTCATTTTTAGTTTTCACATTCCGTTTATTGAGGAGGAATTGTCCTCAAAAACGCAATGTGTTCAGTGTGTAACAGCCTTAACACATGATGTGTGACTCATTTAAAATGTTGCCCTTCCAGTGTGACTTTTATACAATTTACATTTTCACTTTACAGTGTTAGAGGTAGACGAGAGGATCATACCATGGGGGTGAGTATTAAGGGTGTGGTTCCTTAGAGAGGTGTACCAGAATTATTAAAAAATAACTCTTTAATTTCACCAACTCTCTGTGACTCTGTTAATCCCAGAGTCACAATTTTTATATCACGAAATTGATCTGTTTCAACTTGTTATAACAGCAGTCTGGCGAGGAACGAGCGGCTAGCAGGTTCACCGAGCATGTTGTTGGGGGAGCCAGTCAGTTAAATCGAACAACAGACCTTTATTTGACATTAGCAACATAAGACCATACAGGCTAGGTCTCCAAGGCTCTACTCCGCCCGTACATACATGTGGGGGGATGGGTAGGCATCAGTGCCTGCCTGTTATGTTATGTTATGAATGGTTTCTCTCGGAACAGACACACTAGCAGCATGAAACGTCTGCCACTATACTCACACACACTAGGAGACTCCCACAACTACTACAATAATAATACTTTTCATTCTTTTACATGGTGATGCAGAAATGCTCATCTTTTTTTTTTTTTACAATTATTATAGATGTTTTAAGGCCTTCGAAAAAAAATAAGTCCAGTGTTATAGAATGAAACCAAAGATCAAACCCTGTTTTCAGGTCCAGAACATGGGAATAGAGTAGCTGCGAGAGAATTCAACATTAATGAATCAATGGTACGAAAGTAGAGGAAGCAAGAAGAATGAGTTGAGTAAAGGTTGACTTATCTGTTTTGTTTCGCTTAATGCACCTTATAATCTGGTGCGCCTTATGGTCCGAAAAATACATTAACTTCTACCTTCCTTTGTCCAGAAGTCCAACTTTTGTGCGATGTTAGCATCTTCCTCTGCCTTTTGGGTGCTACCGCAGGTGCCTTTGACGGTGCGAAACGTTTAGTCGACAATGTTGGAGAGAAAACTTACAAACATACAGTACAGCACTTCAGAGTCACACTGCTAGCAATCGAAGATTTAAGTAAATTTGGCAAGCTGAACACATTCTGTACTGGGACGAGACACGGGACGAGATTGATTGATGATCTAAGCCAATCAGTTCACAGAAAACAATGCTTTGTAAAAAACAAACAAAAAAAAAACGCATTCAAAATTGCACAAAAACGAAAAGGTAAGCCGCGTTATAGCAAGGTACCACTGTAGTAGAAAACAGATTAGAACACTGATTGGTTTATTTGGATATTTATCACAGAGAATCCATCAATAAAATTAATAAAGCTTTGCTGTGGCTTATGTAATTTAGAGGTTTGCCATTAGATGATAATGTCAGAACAGATTGCAGCAGATAATGTGTAAATGTATCAATACAAAGATTTAATCCTCCACTGAAGAACTGTGCTAGCAGAGAAATGTGTTGAATTGTGATTTCAAAAGATGAATCATTTTCATTATAGATCCACAGCACCTTTTGCTCCAATGTCTCCAACAGTCAGGTCAACGAGCTAGATGACATGTGAAATGCCCCTTTTATATAGCATCACACACTGAGGCAAAAAGCCTGAGTTATCAATAATAACCACCATCACGATTAGGGATGGGTATTGATAAGATTTCCACGATTCCGATTCCATTTTCGATTCTGTTTAACGATTCGATTCTTTATCGATTCTCTTATCGATTCTTTTTAAAAAAGGAGAACACTAAGGTCGAATAGCTTAGAACCTTGTTTTATATCTTCTCTTCTAACAAGATAGAAATTTAGGAGTAACATGGCCTTACAAACCCGACAGTGAGATATTAAGAGATCCACAGCCTACGGTTCTTCCATGGGGTTTCAAAGGGTCTCCAGGAAAAAAAATTATGAATGTAAAATAATAAAATAAATATTCATATGTAGCAATAACAAAGTATAACATAAATTATTCAGTAGCAATTACACAAGAATATCCAGTAATGTCCCTGCCTACAATTAAACACATTCACTTACCGAAAATCGGGGCATCTGCTGTGGCAAATGGGTGCAAGCCTTTTACCACAAACTTAGTCACTGCTCGGTGACATTCGTCTATCCTGGCCTGAAAGGAGACGCTACCGGTAGACTGCAGCGAGAACTGCCAGCATCTGAGCCAGACTCTGTCTGTCTCTCTCATCATGGTCACCTAAATGCACAGTAATGGCAGGTTTTGTAATAAGGCAGATCGCGCTAACATAATATGCACTGTTAGTTGATTATTTACCTGCCGCATTAACGGGAGAGGACGTGCAAACGTTACCGCTGCTGCTGGGTTGAGATTCACGAGTCCGGAGCGGAATTAAAAACACGACATTCATTTAAGGTTATCGGGTGTTTTTTGCATATTCGTAGTGTTTCCTCCCTTAAATGAAATATTTACTTTGCAAGTATTGCAAGTTGCCCCGTTGTCATCCGTATAACCAAACTTTTGAGCGTTTGAGCCGTTTAGGCACCATGTTTCCTGCCAGGTAAATGACGTTCCGCAACGTGGTGACGTCATTCGGGGCGACTGGAATCGATAAGGGAATCGTTTGCAAAAATGGCAAACAACTCCAAGGAATTGAAACAGTGGGAACCAGTTCTCAACAAGAACCGGGTTTCGATACCCAACCCTAATCACGATGCTAATTTTCTCTGACTCTGGTTTTTGGTATTATCAGAAAAGACAATTCAAACCTGCCTATGTCAGTCTGGCTTGGTTGTACACCCATCAAGTGTTTTGTTTGTTTTATTATTTTGTGTGTGTTCATAACACTGTTGTGTAAACTGTAAGTGCACACTAAATCCTATTGTAATTTTCTAAATGAACAGTGAAAAAGAGCGAGACCGAGACCTGCAGCTTGTCAGAGATTACAAGCCTCACAAAGATGTCCAGCATCTCAGAATTATGCTTTATGGACCACCAGGTGCTGGAAAGTCCAGCTTCATCAACTCTGTGGACAGTACTTTAAGAGGCAAAATCGCAACTCGAGCTTCAGCAGACGCAACCTCTGGTGTCAGTTTCACTAATGCAGTATGTATGAGGATGTATCTATTCTTATAATAGTTGCTGTTAGATGCTTGCATGAAAACACTCTCATTTCCTTTGAGGTTTTCTAGGACTACAGGAGTGCATTGCAGTGGTAACTATTTTGTAGACAATAAACTATAAAAAGAGTGAAAAAAGTCGGTACAACTAGTGTGTAAATATTAATCTGAAAACTGTTTAGGGTCTTTAGTATATGACATTATAAACACTTTTTTTTACATTCACAGTACAGGACATATAAAATTCACAGAGAAAATCCAAGAACCTTTTATCCTTTTGCATTCAATGACACCATGGGCCTGGAGAGGGGCGCTGAGGGAGGAATTCTTGTGGAAGACATCAAACTTGCCATGAGTGGACATGTAAAAGAAGGTTACAGGGTATGACATCTTCATTCAGACACAATCTGTGAAACTGTATCGTGGAAAAGGGTTTAAGTGATTTTCCATTTTTTTCCCAGTTCAACCCCAAATGTCACTTGTTTGAAACGGATCCTGACTACAACAGTTCTCCTACTTTAGATGACAAAGTCCACATTCTGGTTTTAGTCATTCCAGCTGACACAGTGAGCATAATCAGTGTTGAAACTCGGAGGAAGATGAAAGAAGTCAGAGCAGCAGCTCGTGACAAAGGTGAGAGCAGATGTGGTTCTAAGAGCATTTATTATGTC